ATTAGATATTAACTAAAATAAACGCACCATAATTACTTATTAAGTAACAACCAATAAATTTCACCAAAAAATAGGTAACAACCAATAAATTCTAAACGCAGTAATTAAAGAATGAGATATTAAAAAAAAAATATCAAATAAGATATAAGAATCTTAAAATAATTGAACATCTAAATAATTTAATTGTTAGTGTCGATTTTAATGCCTTCATTAATGTGGATTTTTTTTTTTTACAGAGAAATATTTCCTAAAGATTATCACATTAATGACTCAGAAAATTAAGGAAGATATGAATTTATGATTTTCGAAATCGTATTGGTAATATCTTTAATTAATATTTTTCAAATTTAAATAATTAATGCCAATGGCATTCATCCGTAAATAAGGTCTAACTCCAGGATTTATTTGCTAAAAGTCATCCAAAAATGTATATATAGATGATTATAAATGCTTGCCAATATTAACACTATATCATTTATAGTTTTATACACCTACAAATCTTCTAACTACACATATTTCAACTATATTACTTATAATATAAAATAATTAAATGAGAATTTTTTTTTATAATATCAATTTAAAAATCCAATAAATTATAAAATATAATATCAAATACATAAAATATAATTTTGCCCCGCGGTGTACCGCGGGTTAAATCCTAGTAATTTACATACTCCGTTACTCTTTATAAATAATTCACAACCCTATTTTATAGAATATTTAATAATATTTTTAACTTAATTTAATTAAAAAAAAGGATTCCACCCATCTCTCCACAACCTCGGCCCAATAATATTTTGGGCATCTAGTTAAACATTTCTCATAAAACTGTTTTAGGGCTTTTTATTTAATATCCACATATTTTTAACTTTTTGGGCCATGATTCATACTAGAAAAATATTTTATGGAGTTTTATACTAAAAAATTTCATAAAAATTGGCCTTTTTGTATTTTTTTTTTTTAAGTGTCGATGAGCTTCCGGCTCGCGCACTTCTGCCCTACTCATTTGGGCCGAACCTATCACCCCATCATCAGACCAATCATGGCTTCTACCATTGAAACTGAAACTTCAAAATCCAGGGGTTGGTAACCATGCCTTTTTGATTGATTAGGACATTGCATAGATATTTAATGGATTGTAGTGGTTGAATCGTAGTGATTTGTAGATAGATTAGTGTTTTTGGTCCGAGTAATAATCAATTTGCAAATATAAGACAATTAGAACAATACTTAGTTTAGAGCAAAGTATAATTAATTACAAAGTAAAATCCAAAATTACAATTGTTTGTATGCAAGTAAAACTTAAAAATTAAGGACATTTGTGTGCATTTTGGTGGCACCATGTGTTTATATTGGCAGCGACATGTGCAAATTTTCAAAATATTTATGCTCATTACTTTTCTTCATGCTCGAATCTTCTCGAAGCATTTTTGCTTTTTCAAACCGAGGAACCAGTTGAGTGCAGGGTCTATCAGTGATCTCATGTTTGCCTCGTCTTCATTTAGCTTACTGATGAGAGAAAATGTCTAGCATGAAAGCATTAATTAAGAAGTCACTCCATGATTGGTAGCCCAATCTGGAGGAATAGTGTTTACAAATAAAATTTTAAAAAATAAACTTTTAGAGTAATGGGTTAGGCAATCTGCCTTAGCATTACAAGAGCGATGAATACTAGAAAGCGAGAAAGAAGGAAACAAAGCACGAAGAAGACCAATCTCATCTAGCTGATTGGGGAAGGCGGACCACTCTTCCGGCGCTTGCACCATCAAAACTAGTTCTGTACTATTTATCTCGAACATTTTGTAGATTTGTCTCGATTCCGACAATACCAAGATAAGTAAATTTTTGGCGGAAAAATTCACTTTTTCATTTTGTTTACTTAAATATTTTTCGAATATAGGTAAAATAGTCATTAAAAATTAAAAGAGGATAAGTATGAAAATGGTCAAAAAGGGGATATTTTTTAAAAAAGAGTATCTATAAAAGGGCATTTCTAACAATTTCTCTTAATTTAATTTAATTTAAATCTTAATTAATTTATTATTTATTAAGATTATTAAAAAATTTCAAAAAACAAACAAAAATTCATCTTCTTCATCTACTAACCATCAGACCACGTAAATAATCTCGAAATTTTGTGGTTGGACGATGAGTAATAAGTCAACTTCCTGACAACGTGGTGAACCTCAAGACTCAAGAGACTTGTCTTATTGAATATGAAGGTCTTCAAAATGCAGTGTTGCAACATCTATGTGGTCTTTACTCTCTACACTCACATCTCATGACATGGAAACAATTATTGTAACTGAGGAACACATGGTCAGACCGAATTTTCCGTGATTGATGTCCAAATAAATCTCATGCAATCACCGCTCTTGAAATTGCACTTACAAATTACAGAGAAACGGCTGGTTTGATCTTAGTCATTGAAAGAAACAACCACACATAAGTAGAGCCCCATAAATTTATTGTCGCACCAATGTGTAATTCTATGGAAGATCCCATTATCTGATGACGGAACCATAAGGGTAGATCGCTTCTAGGAAAACTGACACTAACTATGCAACAATGACATAAAACTGGAGTCGTTGGGCAACTTGTGGAGATTCCAATCTGTGAGATAGGCAGCGACTCAAAACCTGTCATTATATGGTTCAATGGGTTAACCCATTAAAATAATAAATTAATTAATAATTAATAGAAAAAACCAATAATCATATCGTCTTCATCATCATCACCATCACCATCATCCATCACCATTGTTTGGTAGAAAAATTACGGATTCACATTTTTTTGATGGAAAAATTATGAATTTATATTTTTGGCGGAAAATTGGAGATTCTCGTTTTTGTAAAATGTTTGCGGATTAAAAATTTTGGAGAAAATTTACATAGTCGTGTTTTTTGGCGGGAAAAATTGCGGATTCACGTGTTTGGTGGGAAATTTGTGGATTAAGGTTTTTGATGAAAAAATATGGATTTACGTTTTTGGCGGAAAAATTATGGATTTACAATTTTTGTGGGACACTTTTGGGTTTATAATGATGATAGCATCATGATGGTAACTAACATGAATATGGTAAGTTTGATATGATGATGACGATGGTAGTATGGTGTGGTGGCAGAAGCTAAAACGGGGAGGTGACGCGAGGGTTGTTAAAACAAGACAAACACGAGTAAAAACAGAGATGAAGGTGAAGATGGAGCGTGAGGTGGATTAGACGGATCAATGAAGATGGTATTCTCTGTGCGGCCTCTCTCTCTTCCCTTGTCTTGTGCTCAAACTTGTGTATTTCATTTACTTCCAACTCCTTCGTTTCATGCCCTTTTTAGCGTTAACTCTTGGAAGTTGAGTTCATTTAACCGAAACCATTAAGGGGACAGATTTATTACACACACAAACGTAGCTAAGATGCATCATCGTATATAAGTTATCCAAAATTTTCAGAGATTTTTCAAGTCATAACATAATGCTGCTAGTGTTGAGCTTGAGTTCTTGGTAGCTACACAGAGATGGAAATCGTGAAAGGCAATTGGGATCTACTTATTGGTTGCTGAAGCAAAAAATATGCTTTGATAACTTAAAATTCTTTTGTTTGGTCCTGGTTCGCAAAAAGTGATGGATGGTTTTGGAGAGAAGGATAACAAAAACGAAGGATGATGGTGATAGAGAATGGTTGTAAGAAAAGTGACGGAGACCCCAACGAATGGAAAGGTGGAAGATTATATATCTTTTACAGAGAAGATAGTAATATTTACTACAACCATGAGAAAAAACATCAAACCAGAATTGTAACAGTGATTGATATCATGAGCTCGGTAAAAGCTCTAAGCGTCCGGTGCTGCTGGATTGTTCACGTCAACGGGACAAACAGACATTGGTGGATCCTGGAACAAGGAAATAAAAAAGCAATCAGTGAATGTAAAGGATAAATAATAACAAAGGAAAGACCGAAAGAGCTACCACCTGAAGGCGGTTAAAAAACGTCTCCTTCCCTTTGATATATCCAGGTTCCCTCTCCATCTCACGAATTTCGTCAATGTACTGTTCTAGGTCGAACCCAGGTATATGTTCTTTTAACAGTTTAACTGGAATAGATCTCTGCCACTCGTCGTCATTAACAGGCTCTTTAGCCAGTAATTTCTTAAGCAATTTCTGGAACTTTGGTTTCTAAAAAAAAAACAAAATCCAACCTTATTCCACAGAAATTCAATTATCATAGCCTAAAACAAAAAAAGAAAGGGTATTTACTTTGGCAAGGTCCTCCACGTCTGAGGGATTAAAATTGAAATTCATGTTGAGCGCAGGAATTCGTAAGCCTGATTCCGGTTCTGCGGAAATATGAAAACACTTAAATAATTCAAACACTAAAAATTGAGATAAACAACCGTAAAGGTCACAATACCTGAAAGAGCAAGAGTTTTCTCTGAATTTGTACCCATCGGATATGACCTAGAAATCACAAAAACCACACGGATCTGTTCACAGATTGGAAATCGAAACCTAATCCAACGAATCAAAAGGAAATCATATTGTGGTGGAGGAGATACCTTAACGCAGCGGTCGCGTGATGAGGAGATTGCGGATATGACTAAAAACCCTAGAAATCACAAGGATCTGTTCACAGATTAGAAATCGAAACCTAATCCAACGAATCAAAAGGAAATCATACTGTGGTGGAGGAGTTTTAGGAGTTTTATAGGAGTTTTAGGATAAGATAAAATTACAATTACTTGGAGGGTAAGAGACGTGAAGACCAAGTGGCGTGAAGGGGAAGATATGATGGATAATCATCAAAATAAATATCCATTTATAACAGGCCGCAATTTTTTTTGGCAGAAAAAAAAGTATATATTTCATTTTTGAAAGAAACTAAATAAGGGCCGCAAATATAGTAGTATTTGCTTTGGACCCCAGTAATTAATGGACCGGCCATGGGCCAAATATTTCTTTCTTGCACGTTTACTCCAATCAAGAGTTTATATCAGAAAATCTTTTCTCTCCTCTTGAATCTGCTCAAAAGGTTAGAGAAGATTGGATTGAATGGTTGGAAGCCCAAGAGATTGAGGAGGAGGAGGCTCCGGATTCTGTGGTTGGTCTAAGTCAAGAGAGTATTGGTTGGACTGCCCCTCCCATTACTTGGTTGAAATGTAATGTTGCCACTTCTTGGTCCAAAAGGAACAAGTTTGCCGGTTCTGCTTGGGTCCTTAGGGATCATGTTGGTAAGGTTCTACTTCACAGTAGATGTGCCTTGCCTGGTGTTTTGGTGAAACAGGAAGCTCAGTTCAAAGGACTGCTTTGGGCCTTGGAGAGTATGCGGTTTCACAGGGTAGAAAAAGTGATCTTTGCCTTGCAGGAGGATTTTTTGGTTAACGCGGTCTCTAGACCTGCTGCTTGGCCTTCCTATAGATACATGTCTATGGAACTTGGTCTTGTTTTGAGTTCTTTTCGATCTTGGAAGTTCTTTTTGGAAAACTCATTTTCAAACAGGGGAGCCTTGCTTATAGCAAAGAGTGTCACCGACGAGTGTAGGTTGCAATCTTATGTGGCGGTATGTCATCCGACGTGGCTTGATGGGGTGTTTAATGAAGAAAGGTTGTCTTCCTCTGATTGAATCTTAGTTTTTATGTCTATGGCTCGGGTTGTGAGCATTTTCTTTTGGTTGTGCCCTCTCTGTTGAGATGTGGCTTCTTCTTGTGGTGATTCTCACCTCTTGGTATTGTTGTAATGTCCAATCTTACCTCTAATATAAATTCAGTTGACAAAAAAAAAAAGAGCATGATTATCAATGAGCTCTTAATAATGGCTCTTAGAAATATTTAAATAATATATTTGTAAAAGTGATAGTTAAGAGATTGTATTATTAGGTTAAGATTTGTTGTGTGATTAATGGTAGGCTCTTAACATATGGTTCTTAGAAGAAAAAAATATTAATATAAAAATAAAATTTATAATTATAGAAAATTTAATAATAGTTGCAAATTAAAAAAATTAAAACATACATGAGATACAATTTAATCCATAAATAACATAAAACACAATTGTTTTAAACTTGATTTTTGAAATTTTTTGTCCATATATGCTCGACCAAATTCTTCAATTGTTGATGCATACCACTCTAATATATAAGCACTCTCTTTCTCTCTCGTTCTCTTTGATGTCTCTCTATCTCTTAATCTGGGAGTTCTCATTACACTCGCTCATCCATGTCTAAATGGAGATTCTAGAACTCCTCATCATGAATCGTTGTTGTGTACATGATTTGTCTATATGCAGATCAACAAGTAAAAAAAGCAAAAGGTGAGAAAAGAGACAGATTAAGAAGATAGATTAGCTTTGAAAGCAAAAACATCATCAAAAATACAAGTGCCTCATTGTTAACCTGTAGTAATGAAGAGAGGCATCTCAAAATGTAATGAAAAAGCGAAAAAACATCCTTTCTACCCCTCACCAAAATCTTGAATATTTCTTTAAGTTATTTTTCTTCGACGGTTCTTCACTTCATATCTCTCTTTGCACATATCTGATAACCAAGCTCTTGGACTCACCAGCTGCATTATCAGTGACTTAAAGCACATCAGACAATTTGATACAATCAAGTGACAATGAGTGTACCCATTTGAACAAAAACCTTGAGGCGATACACACAACATGGGTTAGTAAAATGCCTTCCGGTGCACCGTAAAACCATCATTGCAGAGTGTTCACTATATGTTGAACCCGAAAAACCCGACAGTACTATTGAAGGAAGCAAATGAATCATTCACAATTCATGGGGATTGAACCATATCTTGAATGTTGCTAGGATCGTCGTAATTACTCGGTGTTTCAATGATTTAAAGCAATAATGCGTTACCATTCCTAATTATTCAGCTAACCAATCAATCTATGTTCCTAACAGAGTACAACAACTTAACAAGGTTAATTCATAATCAGGCATCAAAATCCCTAATTGAAAACCCCATCACCTAATCCACAAATCGATCTTAAAAGAGCTTCAATTAGAAATATTACTCATAGTCTAAAATGCTGCAAATGAAGCATGTTTCTGAGATCCTACTCTGTGTTATTACCATTCCTAATTTTTGAAGCAAAACCCATAAATCTAAGCCAATCAGTTTCTAAGACGAGAGAGAGAGGGAAGATTTTGTACATTGCCCATGAATTTCTTGATATTGGTACTGTTGGCGAATGTATACATAGGGACGATGGGAACAGCGGCGTAGACACCGAACTTGACGATCTCTAGAACTCCTCGCCGATTTCGCAACCCAACCTCTCCGAATATAACAACCGAAGACGCCGACGACAAACGGAGTCGATGGAGATGATGGGCTAACGGAAGAACGACGGCTGGAGTTCATTCACAGTCGATTTCTCGAAATCGCGAAGGTTTCTCCGTTTTCGTGATTTGAGAGAGAGAGAGAAGAGAAAGAACACGTGGACGTCTCTTTAGTTTGATTTTGTTTCTTAACTAAGAAACGTAAAGATTTGTTTCTTAGTATAAATCAAGCTTTCTCATTTAATTTAATTCAATATTATTGTTAAGATTTGGCTAAGAAACCCCCGTTAACGATGGTCTAATGTTTCAATTAGAAACTTTATTTTTCGCAGCATATCCCATAATGTATCAAATGATCTGTTACAAAGAACTTACGTACAATTAAATCGTAAATTTATTATTAAAAAAAATTATGTTATTTATTATTTAGTTTCTTACTTTCAAACATGAAATAACTTTTATCGATCATATAGAGATTGTTTAGTATGCTCTAATAACAAGAAATCCAAGTCTTAGATTATTAAAATTGGATACTTTTTGTATTCACCATTTAACGTAAATGCAGGTAGCTAAGGATACCCCTTTTGGTAGCTAAGGATACCCCTTTTTGTTTTTTTTTCTTTATTACTTGATGTATTGCATTTTTGGTGTCTTTTGTCCTTTGTTTAGTTTTTGTTTTGATTCGTTTGTCGCGTCGTAGTCTGTCTTTTGCGTCTTTTTGGTCTTGTCTTGAGTCTTTTATAGGTTCTAGGTGCTTGTGTGGGATTTGGAAGTTTTAGAGCGTTATTGGGCTTGTTCGGGCCAAAAAGATGATCGAGAGAAGAAGTAGTTGACTAGTGGCTGTGGATCGATCGATCCAAGGAGTGGATCGATCAATCTGAAACGTGACGTCGAAGAAGTTGAACCTCAGTGGCTGTCGATCGATCGATCCCGTTTTCAAGCAACAAGGCAGCACAACTCCAGTGGCGAGGGATCGATCGGTCCATGCACATGATCGATCGATTCACCCCCAGACGACCAAGCCGGATTTCCTTTACCGGATTTTATCTGCTATTTTCTGTAATTGGGTATAAAAAACCCCTAAGACTTATTTTCACATTCACGTTTTATTTTCTGCAATATTTCTGGGAGTTTTTCTGTAAGAAACTATTCTGAATTAGAGATTCATCCTCTTTGACAATTTGGAGATGATTTTTAAACGTTATTTCTATTTTATTCAATTGAATCATATTTTCCTTTATATCTCTTTGTCTTATTTCTTTTGCAATGAGTGAGTAGTCTTCCAATTGGGTTTTAGTGTTCTAAGTAGAAAGTCAATGAATTAGTGAATAGATTGTCATTAGGAATTGTCCATCCATAGATCCTTCGATTTACATTTTCTTAATGCTAGAATAGGATTGATCACCCTGTTTTAGAACATAGATTTTTCTATGCATCAAAAGTGTTCAATAGAATGTCTGAACGAATGTAAATTGAGCTGTGTGTTTCTAGCCAACAAGAGTTGACGTTAGAAGGTATTGTGAACCAAATGAACCAACCTTATAATGCGAATTTGATTAGGAAACTACAAACGAGAATTTAATTATTGAGTAGTCAAATTTAGTATTAATTTCTTGAGAGAGAGTTAGTCTAAATTTGTGTTCATAGTTGAGAACGGTTTTTCATAACTGAATTCTTTGTTTTGATTATTACGCTAGTCATTGTCGAAATACCCTAATACCCAATGCCTTTAATTCATAAGTTTAATCGTCTATTTATTTGCATTTTTCTTTTACAAATTTGAAAACCAAAAAAACAAACTTTCGCTTTAGCTAAGAACGTACGAGTTTCGAAAATTTTTAATGTACCATTGGTTCTTATGTAACAACTTCGAATATACTATATTTCAGTTAAGTGTATCGAATAACTACTCGAACAATCACTACTTCAAATCAATGATTTTGATACAAAGATTTGAGACTCTATATAAAGCCAAAGAGACAAGATACGTCCTAATCCTGAATCTAGCTAGATAAGTTGTCAAACTTATTCTAATTAAAAGATAAAAATAATTTAAAAACTTAATGAAAAAGAACTCTTGTTGAACACGTACAACGACACCGGACACTAGCTCGTGTTCAAGGACTCAAAACACTCAATGATGCGCAGCATCATAGTATGATGATTATGGTATGATGATAATGACGAAGATGATGATGGTAATGATAGTATGATGCTATGATATGTGATGATGAAATTGTGTTTATAATTAGTAAATTGATGGGTAAATAGTTAATTCATTAACCCGTTAGAACCCAACTCATTTAACTCATTAAATATTTAAAAGATTAGGATTGATGAGTCGGGTCGATGTCGATCGACCCATAAAACTTGGTCCATTTTGACACCCCTAGTGACGATATCATTTCAATGAAAACACAAGGCTCTTCTTTGGTCTATAGAAATATGCAGAATGTACAATTAGGTAATTATTATACATGACAATCCCAAGGCTATGGATCAAAATCAAAATAGGTAATTATTATACATATAAACATTGAGTTACAATATCACATTCACATCTCCATGTTCTTAAACTTCTATTTTTTGGGTTTTTTTTTTTCCACACATTGTTGTCTAGAAACTCTTAAAAAATAGGGTTCTAGAAATCAAATTTCATTTTGTATTTTGATTTTGATTTTGATCCACTAAAGGATTTGTGGACTGAAAGAAAAAAAAACACGAACTAAACTTGTTTTAATCAAGTTTAGTACACATGCTCTTGGAAATTCAGAAGCTCTGTGTTAATTCCAAAGTTGTGGTGGTACTTTGTTGTTTTACCAATTTAGAGTACTGTGTTGTTTCAGATCTTATTTCTCTTATACCAGTGCCTTCAAGATTCAATTCTCTTATGGTCCGTACAACATCTGGGAAACGTTTGATCCCATTGCAACCAGAAAGATTAAGAACTTGGAGACGTTCTAGCTTATCAGTACTTGGTATGCTCTCCAAGCTTGTGCAATCTTGAAGATCGATTTTCTCAAGGTGACATGCTTCCGAAATTTCTTCAACTTCAACTAGTGTCACTAAATGCCCAAGCTTGATTCTCTTTAACATCGAGAAACTCTGAAAAAAAGGAAAACATGGAAAGATGAATCATTTAAATTACTTAATGCAATATTTATGAAAATTTATGCGTGAACACATGTTACTTTATAGTAGCAATCTTAGTAAATGACAATCGCGATAATTAGTTATCGAAAATGTCATTGTAGGATATTTTTCTAGATGGTATTCCTATGTACACTTATAAACGTTAATTAGATATTCTCTTATCTTTTTGATGTGAGGTTTCTAATATTCTTGGACGCAATCAATGCACTATCTCTAAAATGGTGACATTCCCTTACCTTATAATATCCTCCAAATCCCCAAAGTTTAAGTTTGTGAAATTGACAAGCAAATCCTTGGTATATAACCGGCGGCTTTCTATGAAAGTGTTGGGGCAAGGATTGCACTGCATGGTCATGATCCATACAGGAATCCCTTAGATCACTAGGTACAGACTCATGGACGCAACTCTTATGGTCGAATTCCGGGAGGTTCTGAGCATCAGATAGGTATATGTGAGATGCACGCATGATAGACTCCTTCTGATTGGTATCTCTTTTGTCCTGAAAACAAACCAAAATATTAGAAAAAATTGTCAATCATTAGGAAATTCGCGAAATCTATGTATATATATGAGAATGTGACATACGAAAACGGGATGTTCATAGTCATTTCCACAGGAGATCAAACAAAAAGTTGTGTTCTTCGAAGTATTAATACAAACATCGATAATGTGCATTGGGCCTTCAAATCGTGTTTGACGGTCCTGGGCATCATGGCAGATCTTGAGCAAAGCCGACTCCATTTCAGTCATGTTCTTGCCCTTGAGCTCCTCGGCATATGAGATGAGAGTAGACGGGTTGCCATCAGAACTTTCAATCACTCTCATTGAAAGATCTAGAAGATTCTGCTCTATCACTCCATTCCCAAAGGCACATCTTGTCAATAGCTTCAGAGCATCTTCATCACTTAGACCTTTAAGCTCATAAATCTCATTCATCTGGCACTGCTCAAGAACTGATTTATCTCTTGAGGTTATGATGATCAAGCTCCCTGGTGCAAACTGATCAACCGCTCCAAGAAAAGACATAGCGTCTTGAGCATTTCGTACATCATCTAGAACAACAAGAACCCTTTTTCGGCGATGGCATGGCTCGGAACCAGAGTTGTTAAGGTCAAACTCTTCCATTGGAGTCAGACAAAAGAAATCACTGGGCAAAGGTTCAAGTCTTTTCTCACTATGTTTTGTGTGGAAATCTTTGACGAAGTAAGTAGCATCATACCCTCCACCCATTCGTCGAAAGACTGCTCTAGCCAGTATAGTCTTGCCAATGCCAGGCTTGCCGAAAATGCCTATAGTGCGAAGGCCCCATGGTTGCTTGCATAGCAAGTTTTCTATATCCAATTGCCGGCTGTGGATCCCAATCTCTTCCGTAGGGTTAAGTATCTCAAATATTGCTTCCGAGATCTCCTCCACAACTTCGGATTCTTCGCTGAAATTAAAGAAGAAGTTATGTTAAGGTTATTAGTCTATGTATTTCAGAATTTACATATACAGTACTTCAAATTTTCTTTAGCATGGTTTTTGGGAAAATCTTATAAAAACCTTCAAAGTGGCCACCATTTTCACTTTAAACCTCTAAAGTTTTGAACTTTTACAATAAACCATCAAAGCGATAACTTTGCTAGGCCACTTTGTGGTTTATTGTTGACACAAGCTGTGCAATGCATAGTTTTTTTGTTGGCTTTTAAATATAAGTTTTTGGTGTCATAAAACCGGTGTTATTATTGGTTTCAAGCATGTACAACCCCAAATTGCCGCAAATAGTGTTTACCGATCCATATCAAACCCTAAGCGAATTTCTCAAAATCTTTAATAAAATACAGAGTTCTAAATTCATTATGAAATAATATAGGCGAAGGGCTAGTGGCCTCTCATCTCTTATATTTTATGTTTTGTTCGAACGTCCCATCGTGACATTTATACAACAATAAGATTTCTATAAATATTTTTTAATCGAAGAGTATTATTTTTATAGCAATAATCGAAAGAGTTATGAGCCAAATCTATACGTTTTTATGTTGGACAACAATTGTTTCCCTTTTAAGCAAAAGTCAAATTAGGGGTTAAAAGGAATTTCAGTAAAGTTGTTGTATTGACATACCTGAATTCCTCATCATACTCATGGCCTTTTAGTTCTGCTATTTTCGCAAGCGTGCGGTCAGAATTAAGGCAACTTCCTCCAAATTCATGTCGTATATGTATATATATGAAAGCTATCTTGAGTAAACAAATAATAATAATTAAGGCAACTTCCTCCAAATTTCGGACAGAATTAATCATTTAAAGTAAATATGTATATTATTTCTTATTAGAAATTGTAAACGCATGAGACGTGCGGTCAGTTCCTATTGACCAGTTCTGTTTGGTTAATTCAATGATTTGATCGGTTCTATTTGGTTAATTCATTGGAGAATTGAAGAACCGAAATTATATATTTTTTTGAATATAATGTTGATTAGATTCAAGAAAAAATATCGTTTTGGTACATCAAATGCAGAAGTTGCTGAATTGTTTTTGAAAATGAAGATATATGAATTTGTTAAGTGCCTCTAGATGAGAACCATGCTTGGAGGTTTGGTTCATACCGTCTATCACCTTCCTTTCGAATGACCGAGAGTTTATTTCGAACTTGCTTTTCCATCCACTTGACGAGTTTGGTTGCTGGAGGCGGCTGCTCACCATGCTTCCTTCCATTACGCTCCAGCCAAATCGAATGTACCGTTAGGTGGAAACTGTAGCGAGCTAAGAACGTATGGATTCTGTAGTGTTGAGTTTTTGAGATGACGTTGCCAATCTGTGGAGAAGTGACGTTGAAGCAGTTGTTTTGCGAGAGCAACCCAGAGCTTCTACGAGTAGTGGCAGCTGAAAAACAGATGGTGGTCTCTTGTCTCGTTGTGAGTATTACATAATACACAAGTTGATGTTGAGCCCGTGTTCAATTTCATCATTCAATCTGCAGTTGAGAGTCGATTGAGTGTTTTGGTGTCGCATGCATGAACCATACTCCCTTATACCAAGCAACTTTAATTACTCGCGCGATGTTGTCCCTGTGTGGTTCCAAGTGTCTTTAGTAGAGAAATATGCTCTGTTCGTAGCGTAATGAATCATCTTTTGAGTTCAACTACAGTAAATGTACAGTAAAATAGTAGCGTATGTAATCCAACGGTTAGGATATTAATTGCCTTCCAAACGATATCCTTGATTCCACTCCCTAGTCCCTACAGACGCATTATATCGAACAAATAAAGGTATAACAAAGCAAAAATTACATCATTGTTGACCCATCATATAATTAAGAAATTCGTATATAATTCTGAACGAACCTTTGAGCGGTATCTGCCCGACCAGACGAGATTTTTTTTTTGTTTTTTATTTTTCCTTTTTTGCTCTCCGGTTTCTGGCAAGTCTAAATGGAACTGGAACTGCGAGAGGGGTCTCGTTTTCTTTTATTTTCTTTGTTTCCTATTTTTTTTTGTTCTGTCTATGATTCTTCGGGGTTAGACTACTTTCAGTGGCGATTGGAGGTTAGGGTTTGGTTTACGGCGGTGTGAGAGTAAATCGCGACTAAACGTTCAGGTTTACAAAAGTAGATTAAGCATATATCGAGTTTTGAATTCAAGAACAAAGAGAACAAACAATTTCAACTCTTACTATATATGCCCGACTCTTACGTACTATATATCTCCCATAAGTATTATCGAAATCATAGTTTGCTATTTAATTTCTTGCAACATCATCGTGCCAACATCAAAAACAAACTCTTACTAATTCTAGCTTGATATATTGTATTTGGATTTGATGTGCATTCGTTTATTTGCGGGTATTATTTTTTTACACACCCCTCGATGAAGGATATTACAATATGTGGATCGGCTCTGGTGATCAACGTCTGTGCTAAATTATGTACCAAACCTTGGTTCACAATGTCAATATGGTTTATATCAAAATTGGCCTACATAAAACTAAATTTTGTACCAAACTAAACCAAGAACATCATAAGTTATGCTGTTTAACTAATGAGGTCTACAGATTTTTAAATGATGATCTTGAGTGATTCTCCACATGGAAAAGAGCCGTTGATTTGGTAAGTCTAAAGAATAAGTCTAAAGAGACGACTCTACAAAAAAAACAATATCCCACGCGTTTAAATATTTCTTCAAATCAAAAGATTCGTATATCCTAGCCGTTTGCAAATTTAAATTCAAAGACGCGGCAACAAATTTGTATATGAAATATATTTTTGTATTTGCAATATACTACACCAAATATCAACTTTCTAGGTGTCAACCGTCCCAAAATGTGTTCTTATCCGATGGAATTAGTCAATTCAATTAATAAAATCTTGTTAGATTAGATAGTCCCTCCCCGAAAACCAATATTTGTTGGATTTTTTTTTAATTATTTTTTGTTGGATCTATATAACAAATGAATGACATTATGAATTTGTGTTTCTCGAACTATATTTTCAATGAGGCACATTCCATCCTCTTTCCTTGAAATTATGATTAGGCCCAATTATGATACATTCGTTATCCCATATTTAAAGAAAAGTTAGTTAAATAGCCATGAGTTGTAAAAAAAAAAGCTATAAATATGGATTACTTAGATATATAAGTAAATGGGAAAATCATAATTAAAAATCATTCTATTTGCACGATTCAACTAAAATATTATTAATATTTGCACATATTTGATACAATAACGAGCTATAAATTAGATATGACTTTTATCTGCATCATACCCATGATAGACAGTTTTACACTTAATACTCGAGACCACAACGGACGGATCTACCTGCAACATTCTGAAACTTTTGATTTGTCTTGCATTATTAATTTTCAAGAATGTGCACTCTCTAGAAATCGAACCCCAAACATAGTGTAGAAGCCTTTAAACCCTGAACGACTAGGCTAAAGAGCTTCCACAAATTTAGGGTATTTAGTTAATAATGTTTCTTAAAACAAAGTTATTTACCTAAACAAGAGCACATTTGAGTTATTGAGTACTCAATTTTTAATTTTAGTTAGGTTTAATGCCCCTTAAATCCAAGATAATGTAGAAGAATACTGTTGTACATTTGTTTCCAAACAATTAGACAATAATTTTAGACCAAATCAACATAATTTTTAATTTAAAATCTTTTATCTAACTTGCAAAAAATGCAAGTTAAACCAACAAAACCGGATTTAACTCGCACTATAAGCTCCCACCATCACCGTCAAGTTTGTTAATTTATGATAAGTTATATATTAAATCAAAGTCTTCACGACGAAGATTACACATATACTCTTTAAAATTTAGAAATTTAATGAACTTAACAGTAAAAACTATTGAAAAAATGCATACAAAAGTCATGATATTGCGGATTAAACTTGAATTTGTGGGTTTAACCTATATTTTTGTAAATGTAAGGTAAACTCGCAAAATATATATCACGAGTTTTATTTTGCAGAAAATTATATTTTACAACTAGTTTGTCATTTTCTAAACCGAGTCTTCTAAACCGATGTAGTTGATGTATAGAAAGAATTACATGTAGTTAAAGATGATGTATAGAAATAGTCTCAGTTTATTTATATATTTAGTTACTAGCTAGTGTTCATTATTTTATAATAACTTAGTTATATACACTTGTAGACGGCCGACTTGTTCCTGTAATCCTTCCGACTTGTCACGTTGCCACTAAACATCGAATTCTACAACTCTTGAAATTTGTTTAAAGAATCTCAAGCTGAAATTTTAGAAAGATAATACCAAGTCAGATAGACAAGTGTATATAGTCTAATAAAGTTCTTGTGTTAGAATTTGTCATCAGAAATAAATTATTAACATTGTAAGAACTTGTCTCCAAGAATAAATTATTTACTATAGTTGTACAAGAAGAACGTGGTCGATCGAATTGACTAGATATATATATGATATATATATATATATGACGTCTAATAATATGATCTTTTGCAAATCAGTCGTATAATTCAATTTCAATCTAAGTAAACAGCAAACTCCAAAAAGAAAATTCACGATGGTGACAGCTTCGGACGTCAAAGTAGGACCAGAAGTGTTTATCAATTTCCGAGGAGTTGAGCTGCGCAAGACCTTCATCTCCCATCTCCATACAAGATTGCGACGGGATGGAATCAATGCTTTTATAGATTCTGATGAAGCTCCTGGCAGAGAACTCAAAAACCTTTTCAAAAGGATTGAGGATTCAAAGATCGCGCTGGCGGTTTTATCGAGTAGGTACACCGAGTCACATTGGTGTTTGCAGGAGCTAGTTAAGATGATGGAATGTAGTCCGAAAGGTGAAGGATGCAATAACAAGTTATTGGTCATTCCAATCTTCTACAAGCTGAAGATATCTACAGTGGCAGAGCTTGATGGAGATTTCGGTCGTAATTTGTGGGATCTCTGGAGGTTGCCTGGTCGCGGTCGTGATCGAGACAACCGGATTGTTAAGTGGAACGAGGCTTTGCAGGATGTTCTCAGCAGAAACGCCTTGGTATTGCCAGAAACTGGGTATGGATTAGTGTTAGGAATTAAACAATATTTAGTTTTACTTTTGAAATTTCTTTAGTAGAAAATCTTAGTATTATAAGTAGAATCGAAATGAAGGAAGACGAGCACGCTAGTTATGTTGTAAAGTTATTCTTAGGAGACATTATACTCTTATCGTTCGTTAGATGGAAATATTCGCCGTTAGAAGAAATAGCTAGAATTTTTTTTACGAAAAAAAAGAAATAGTCAATAGCTAGAAGATTATTTGCAATTATTATACACGAAAAATATTAGAAAAGGTTCATATCGAAAAAAGATTAGTAAAAGTTCATTGAAACTTGAAAGATAAGAAAATGTAGATTATAGTCAATTTTAAATTATTACAACACATCTTACCAATACCAATCATTTCCATAATTCAAATTAATCAAAGAAAACGAAATAAAAAATTTATTACGTTCAAGGTTAATGATGATTAATAAAAGGATAAAAAAATACACTCTTTTTGGTTTTGTTTTTTGAAAAATCATTTTTGAATTGACATATTTTTTCAAAGTAAATAGACTAAGATTAACTATAAATATTAACCTAAAATAAAATTGTAACAGTAATTTGAATTTTATTTTTATTTTTTTTACTATAAACATCACTTATATTTATTTTACTATCAATATAATTTTCAAATAAAATTTTGAGATATGAAATTCTTACCAAAAGTTTTTTTTTCAATAAAGAGATGAGATTATAATAGATTAACATACCCATATTATGAATAAACTTTATCTTATATTTATTTTAAAAAATTTATAAATTTTTTTTCTATTTTGTTCTTCATCATTTAATTTTGTTCTAATGTTCCTCATTTGATAAGGAACATAGATGAATGATGTGGAAAACAAATTACTCTTAAGTGTGGTAAAAAATATAGAATATAGATGAATATCATATTCCTCCTCATTTGTTTTCTAAATTATGGTTACAATTAAAGTTTTAGAGCTTACATGCATATATATATATATACCATTTATAAATATAGGTGTGTAAAACTAAAGTTTAAAACCATTAATCTTAAATCCGGAAAAAATGAATGGGAAGATTTTCTGAAGGAATATAACTAAATAAGTCACACTCCTCCTTATTCTTTTTATAAATCATGGTTACCAATTTTTTTTCAAGAAAAAAAGATTATGGTTACCAATTAAAAGTTTTATTAGAGTTTACATGTACGTACGTATACCATTTATTAATATAGATTTTTTTTTTTTGGTTGACACCATTTAATATTGGTGTATAAAATTACAGTTTTTTTGGTTGACACCATTTAATTGACCGCCTAAAATTATATAGATCTTGTTTAATGTATTTTTTAAATTTTAATTACAGTTTTATTTATATATATATATATATAGTTATAAATATTTATATATTGTTTAATATAAATATAAATAAATGTTTTATCTAGTTTTTGTTTATAATTTCATAATTTTTAGTTATATATAACTTTTATATATAATATCATGTTTATAATGTTTTATGTTATAAACGTCTAAACCGCCTAAAAATTGTCTAGGCCCGATTAGACGTTCTAGGCGCTATGCACTGGATCACCGCCCGCTTAGCGCTTAGCGCTTTCTTGAACAGAGATTAATATAGATGTACATAAAACTAAACCTCCAAACCATTAATCTTAAACTCTAATCCTGAAAATGGATGGGAAGAGTTTTCTCAAGGAATATAACTAAATAAGTCACGTCTCGGATAGTCATCCCTCTCCATCATTACTCTTTTTGTTTTGCAGCAAGGAAGACGATTTCTTGTCTACGATCGTCGCACATGTTAAAAATGCCCTAAGCCAAATTACACCGCAAAGAGGACAAAACCCTAAACCACAGAAAGGGGGAGGAGGAGGAGGAAACCCTAAGCCCCAAAAATTTCTTAGCAGAGCATCAAACATTACTGAACCAGAGGATCAACGCCTTAAGCAACTGGAAGTAAAGTTGAATGTGGAGTGCAATGACAACGAAACTCGTATTGTTGGAGTCGTCGGGATGCCTGGAATCGGAAAAACCTATCTCGCCAGGAAACTCTTCGTCAAGCTTAAGAAGAAGATCAACCATTGTGTGTTTATCGAGTTCGAGCGTGAGAAGTCAGAGGAGCAAGGATCAGAGTGGCTAGAGAAGAGGCTTGTGGAAAGTTTACTGGATATTAAAAATTGCACTGATACAAATGCACTTGTGGTTTGGAAGGATAGCTTAATCAACAAGAAAGTCACGATTGTTTTAGATAACGTGAGTGAGAAGAAACACATCGAACCCCTTCTCGGTAGATACGGCTGGATTAAGAAGGGGAGCAAGATCGTCATCACGACACGAGACAAGTCATTGACCGAGGGATTAGTCTCTGATCTCTATGAGGTCCCTGGGTTGAATGAGAGAGACGGCTTAGAGCTCTTTAGGGCTCAAGCCTGTTGTACTCTTGATGGAAATTTCATGGAGCTGTCTAGAAAGTTTGTGGATTATGCAGGAGGCAACCCATTAGCTCTCGAGCAATTTGGTAAGGAGCTTCGCGGGAAAGATGTGGTTCACTGGGAAACAAGACTTGGAACACTGGCACAGTGTTCCAATCCAACGATCAGAGAGAAGTTAAGAAGCTCTTATGATGAACTAAACGAGCTGCAGAAGGATGCGTTTCTTGATATAGCTTACTTCTTTAGGTCACAAGATGAGAGCTACGTTAGAAGTTTACTTGATTCTTGTGACCCTGAATCCGCGGAATCTGGACATGAATTTAGAGATCTCGCAGACAAATTCTTGATTGGCGTGTGTGATGGTCGAGTTGAGATGCATGATCTCTTGTTTACAATGGCCAAGGAGCTTGTTGAAGCCACTGCAGATAAATCAAGACTGTTGCTGTCGAATTGTGCAGAGTTGAGAAATAAAGAGGTGAGATAAGAAAATTAAAAATTTTATATACTGGTAGAGTTTTATATATATTAACTTGTTGTAGTTGTCACTTGATCAACAGGGAAGAGACAAGGTTAGAGGAATTGTTTTAGACATGTCTAAAATGGACGAAACGCCATTAAAGAGAGAAGTTTTTGTCGGTATGAGTAGTCTACGGTACCTGAAAGTGTACAATTCTCTTTGTCCTCCTCACTCTGAAACTGAGTGCAAGTTAAACTTACCTGATGGACTTGAGTTTCCAAAAGATAATGCTGTCCGATATCTTCACTGGGTCAAATTCCCAGGGACGGAACTTCCATCAGACTTTGACCCCAATAATCTCATCGATCTTAAGTTACCTTACAGCAATATTATCACTGTATGGAGTAGTTATAAGGTTTGTTTTTTTTTTTTTCCAGTTTAAACTAATTGAGCTTGCATAGTGTATGGGACTTATGGTGTTTGATTATGTTTGGTTTTCACAGGTTGCACCTAATCTGAAGTGGGTTGATCTCAGCCACTCGAGTAACTTGAATTCTTTGATGGGTTTACTAAAAGCACCAAATCTTTTGAGATTAAACCTTGAAGGCTGCACAAGTTTAAAGGAGTTACCTGATGAGATGAAAGAGATGACAAATCTTGTTTTCCTGAACTTAAGAGGATGCACAAGCCTCTTGTCTCTACCAAAGATCACTATGGATTCCCTCAAGACTCTGATTCTCAGTGGCTGCTCAAAATTACAGACATTTGACGTGATTTCAGAACATCTAGAATCTCTATACTTAAACGGCACATCGATAAATGGACTTCCTCCAGCCATTGGTAATCTCCATAGACTTATCTTATTGAATTTGAAAGATTGCAAAAATCTTGCAACTCTTCCTGATTGTCTTTGGGAGCTTAAATCTCTTCAAGAACTCAAACTCTCTCGCTGTTCAGAGCTCAAAATGTTTCCTGATGTTAAGAAGAAAGTGGAAAGCTTGCGGGTTTTACTGCTTGATGGAACATCAATAGCAGAGATGCCAGGCAATATTTTTGACTTTTCTTTGCTACGACGTCTATGCTTAAGCAGAAATGATAATATCCGCACTCTTCGATTTGACATGGGTCAAATGTTTCACCTGAAGTGGCTCGAGTTAAAGTGGTGTAAGAATCTCACATCTCTTCCCATACTTCCACCAAATCTTCAGTGCTTAAATGCACATGGCTGTACTTCCCTAAGAACAGTCGCCAGTCCGCAAACCCTTCCTACACCAACAGAGCAGATTCATTCCACCTTTATTTTCACTAACTGTCACGAACTAGAACAAGTCTCAAAGAATGCTATCATTTCTTATGTTCAGAAAAAAAGCAAGTTGATGTCAGCTGATCGATATAATCAGGTATTAATCTTCTGTTTCTCAAGTTCTCTATTATCTATCTACAAATATCCACATTTTATGATTTTCCTTTGGCATTACTTAAAATTTTCAGGATTTTGTTTTTAAATCCTTGATTGGTACTTGCTTTCCGGGATGTGAAATACCTGCATGGTTTAACCACCAATCATTGGGATCAGTCTTAACGCTGGAACTTCCTCAAGATTGGAATGCAGCTGGTAAAATAATAGGGATAGCTTTATGTGTTGTAGTCTCGTTTAAGGAGTACAGAGACCAAAACAACAGTCTCCAAGTGAAGTGCACTTGGGAGTTTACTAATGTATCATTGAGCCCCGAAAGTTTCATGGTTGGTGGTTGGTCTGAACCAGGCGAGGAGACACATACGGTTGAGTCAGACCATACTTTCATTAGCTACACCTCTTTGCTTACTATCAAGAACCGTCAACAGTTTCCATCAGCTACAGAAATTTCCCTTGGATTTCAAGTGACAAATGGTACAAGCGAGGTCGAAAAATGCAAGGTGATAAAGTGTGGCTTCTCTTTGGTGTATGAGCCTAATGAAGCTAATAACACATCTTGGAAGGAAACTCCAAGGATGGAGGATAATAGACAAGACCGGAGAAGCTCTTTTAAAACTGGAGAAGGTGATGACTGCCCCAGTGGAACTCCAACAACAGCGGATTCTAATAAGGGGAATGGTTTTCTCAGTAGTTTCTGGAGAGACATATCTATTAAAAAAAAAGGGTTATAATCTCACGGTCATGAGAGTAACCGCAATGCATCTCAAACAAAACATCACATTTTCTTTGAAGCTCTGTTTCAAGATACTCTGGTATGGAATATAAATTACTCTAAGTTTGAAGATTGCAAACCAGATTGACGTGGGTATGACTTATGAGGAAGTACATCCAAATGAAGTGTCAGAAAAACAATCTTACAGGAGAGGCAAGAAAGCCATAAGCATGGGTCTTCTTCCTCTTCACACCCATTATCTTCTCTGCTAATATCTTTTGCTTCTGATGTTTAATTTGATCAAATCATTTTTGAGGGGAAGAAAGTGCTCAAAATGTTTTTGTAACCTGATTCAAGATTCTCAATACGAATTGAGTCAAATTCAAACTCGGTTTAGTGTGATTGACTCTGTTTTTATAAGAATCTCAACCATCGGTTTGTAATCTGTTGTGACAAATTTTTCATTAAATTTAATAATCTGGCCATCTTTCCTGTGGTTTAACTAGCTTGATAATGTGGCATGTAGAATTTGATGAAATCTCTCATCAAACATACCAAAACAACATTGTGAGACAATGGAAGCTCGATATTTAGTTTAGGTTCATCGTCTTATTCGTTGTGACTCGATCCACTGTGAATGTTCAGTAATTATTTTACCATTTCTATCCTGGTGGCATATGCACAAATAGTTAATGGTTTCCCATTAGCACATTCAGTCTCTCCCATTGAAAAGTCGAAATGCTTATGCTGACCACATCTTTACCAAAGTCACACCTTCTGAATAGTTTCAAAGCATCTTCTTGGTTTTATAGATGCTGGAGTTATGGGATGAACCTGAAAAGGAAGTTAGAAGCTCAATTAGTAGCTAGGCCCATTCGGCTGTTAACGGCATTCACAACAAACATAGTGAGAGAGAATTGATATTAGTATACAAAGAGACACTTATCATTGTACGGCGGAAATAGACCAATCTCTGTACGTCCCGTGCAACTGCTGTGACAGCTAGTGAAATTGGCCAAGTTTGACCAAGGGAACTTGTATATCGTATGCATCATTTGTCTTCTTTCAATTATGAACCAGATATCTGAGAGAGAGAGAGACAAACAGAGAATCAAAGCAGGGTCCAATCGTACCAAATGATATTCGATCTTAAGTTAGAGGACAACCATGCAATGACGGAACAGAAGCAGAACATGATCAAAATATAAGGATTTGGCTATCAAAATATATTCAGTTTAGGTTCATCGTCCTTTTGGTGCACTGAAGTTATCAAGTGTTCTTTGATGTTTTCACAGGAGAATTACGTAGAGAAATTGATCTTGTATCATTTGGTCTGGAACAACATATTGGCAGTTCAAACTCCAATTGGGACTCAATTACTGTTTGGACCTGTTAAAGAGATACGAATTATGGACTTGTAGCTGTTTACAAACTAAATGTTTTCTTCAGTTTTCACTTGTCAATTAATATAATATATAGAAGATATTAAACAAAATGATTTTATATATTTATACAACTTATTGATATATAACAATCAAGATGAGTTTTATAATTATTTCCATAAATTATTATAACTAGGTACATGCTATATAATGAGTTTTGTCCAATATTAATTTTAATTGGATATATATTGACCCAAGCCATTAGGTTGATCTCGATCAAGTTTAATCTTCAACAACTCAGGATTTCCATATCTTATTAGTTTGATGCCATTAATGTTCTTACCATTCGATTCCCTAGTCTTCCGTACAACTTCTAGACAAATTTTGGTCACAACGCAACCACCAGAGAGATTAAGGAGAAGTTGGAGATGATGCTCTAGCTGATCGTGATCATGCGAGTTCGAGAAGCTTTTCCAACGTTTCTGAAGTCCACCAGCAAACCCTTGTAGTAGAACATGATGCTTTTGGTGTAAGTGTCCATACAAAGATCTCATCAGAGAGTTATAATCCAATCTGTAAACCTTTAGATTACTAGGCAGAGACTTGGAGATGCGGTTGTAAATGCCGAATCCAGGGTTCTTCTGAGAATAAGATCGAAATTCGCATTCAGCGGACAAGTCGGATGGGGTCAGAAATATTGTATTGCTGTCTCTAGTGGCCTGAAAAAAACATGGAAGAGAAAGATAAGAGATGATCAACTGATTACGACAAGTCAATTAGTACGTTATTTGATTACTGACTTTTAAATACAAGTTCAATATTTTAGTTAATATTTGACTCTATTACATAAGTCCGTTTTTAGATTATTTTGAAAACTTTTTTCTTTTTTCAGCAAAGTTCATATAGATTTGAAAATGTTACAAAATGGATTAATTTAGGTATAAGAGTACTATTACATACCAAAACCGCATTGTGATCTGACTGGAGCTCCTTATTTTCGTGTACTTCATCGTCTTCTTCACAGGGGACAATGCGCAAATATGTGTTCTTCTCAGTGTCACAAGATCCATCGTCGGCAACGAGTACATCACAATCATCAGGAAACGTCCAACTGATTTTTTCCACTGCCTTGCCCTTGAGCTTCTCGGCAAATGAGCGAAGAGTACGTGGGTTCCCATCAGAACATTCAACCACTCTCTTTGAAAGATCCAGAAGATTCTGCTCTATCACTCCATTCCCAAAGGCACATCTCGTAAACAGCTTCAGAGCATCTTCATCATTTAGACCTTTTAGCTCATAAATCTTATTCATATGGCACTGCTCAAGAATTTTTCTCTTTCTGGAAGTTATGATGATCAAGCTCCCTGGACCAAACTTATCACATCCACCAAGAAATGACTTCGCGTCTTGAGCATTTTGCACATCGTCTAGAGCAACAAGAACCCACTTCTTGCGGTGGCTTGGCTGTGAATCAAAACTTTTTAGGTCAAACTTTTCCATTGAAGTTTTACCCAAGTATTTAGGAGGCAAATACTCAAGTCTCTTCTCAGTATATTCTTTGTGAAAATCTTTGATGAAACAAGAATCATCATAGCCATGAGAAATTCGGCGAAAGAAGGCTGTAGCCAGAGTTGTCTTTCCGATGCCAGGCTCACCAAAAATGCCTATAGTGCGAATGCCCCATGGTTGATTGCATAGATAGTTTTCTACTATCTCCTTTAGTAGTGACTGGATCCCAATCTCTTCCGTTGGATAGAGTTGCTCAAACACATCATTGGCGATTTCTTCTAGAAATTCAGATTCACTGCAAACACATTTTTAAAACGTTTATGTAAGGCTCTTCTAATATAAAACTTAAACAAAGTTATATCTTTTCATAATGATGATTTTGAACAGATATCTAGATTTTTTTTTTTTTTTTGGTACCAGACAGATATCTAAATTTTTTTTATTGAAATAAGCTCTATATCATTGCAATGGAATATGTATTTAAATTTTAAAGAAATGTTTTAGAATTTTTAACCCAGAACTTATCAAGCTGTTAAGCAAGGCTCTCCCCTTGAAGATCTTCTTTTATAGCCATTAAAATAAGAAAAATATCATTGCAATGGAATTCGGATTGTATTTCAACTTTCAAGATATGTTTTAGGATTTATAACTTCTTTAATAGCCAGTTGGGTTATATATATAACCCCCTTTCTTTTCTTTTTTTTGATAAGAGGGTTATATATACTGGGTATACTGCGGCCGAATATGTTTTAGTAAGACAATTTTAAAAATTTGTACCAAAGAAATAAAACCAAAAGACTGATGAGAGCATGCCAAGCAAGGGAAAGTTGACGATCTATTTAGCCTTTCTCACAATATAGTCCCTAAAACAAATCATATGATTCAATAAACTATATAGACTATAGCATACTTGCGAGTTTGACAAAAAAAAAAAAGATTATACTTGCGATAAAAAAAGAAGAAGTAAAGAATATAAACTAAACTATTCTGACGAGGTGTGCAATACCCTCCCATGTAGTTTACCGTCCAATCCACGGCCATGCATGGTGTATTGGTGTTTAAAAAATTAATTATTAAAAATCCTCAAAAGTTGATCTAAATATTTTAATTCAAAGCGTACTTAAAAGTAATCGATTTGTTTAACAAAATAATACATTGAGAACTAGGCAGAAAAATATTTATAAACGATTTTAAAATAGAAGAATTTCCCTAAAATATTAATTTTTTTCTATATTAAAAAAAAGTGAACTTTGAAATTTTGAACAAATAATATTTGGTTTGTTTCTGTGTGTTCAAGGGGAAAATATCTCTCTTAGAACTATATACTAATTAAGTAATTCTAGGTCTATGATTAGAAAAAGAGATATTAGTTGGTAGAAGAAAACCTCGGCCTATTTGTAATCCCTATAGGTAAGGTACCTCCGTTTTTTTTTTTTTTTAACGAAGCCTATACCTTCGTTTACAATCATATTCATGGCCTGGTCGCCACTTAATCCTCGATCTTTGGATTGCGTCAAACTCTTCACCAAACCTCTCCATATGTTGATTCACGGACGAAATACTGACTCCATAGAACACCGGAACAACCACAAAGTCGTTGTTGTTACGGTATGAGTACTCGAGAATCTGTTTTTCCAAGAATGACACATGAAGTGCATAGTTTTTGGAAAAAACCACCACCACCACCCTTAATTTGGAGAATTCTTCAGGTCCCATCTCCCTCTCGACAGCTTCATCATGGCTGCTTTTACCGTCAACGAACGCAGAGATGATTCCTTGTCGGTTGAAAGCAGCGATGAGGTAGCTGATGAAAGAGGAGACTGATGAATCATTTTTGTTGAAACTGATATAAACGGTGTGCTTAGCCTCATCGTTGCTGTTGTTGTCCATATAAAGAGTTTGAGCATCAAATCACAAGAGATACCTTTTGTGCTTTCGATATTTTAGATTGTTCTACCATTGATGATTCCTTGGTTGTGAAATGACCAAAAGTAGTTTTTTTTTTCCCTATGAGTTAAAGATCTTCTACTTGAGGGAGGTTGATTATATAGAAGCAAAACAGATATTTAATATTAACATTTCTTACAAATTTACATTAACTAAAATTTTAAGCAACTAGAACTTTAAAGAATAAATCTTTGATTATTAATGTTTTTAGAGTGGTCATATTTACTTCAAAATATTTTATAGAAAAGTAAAATATATTTTTTTTTACAGCAAATTTTCAATTATTTTTAAAAGTTAAAATTTTTCTTTATATTTTTCACATCTAGAATAAGACTGATTTTATACACGTAGGTATATAAAAAAGAAGTGTTACCTCGATCAATATGTAAATATTTTATACACGTAGCTAGGTAGGGCTGGGCACATAAAAAAAAGAGTTACTTTCAACGTGTAAATATTTTTGTGTTAATAATATTGTACTACTATCCAAATTCAACCATACAGTGGAAGTTACCACTAATTGAAAAGTATGATTCTTTCAAAAACATATTATATCTATTTTGATATAAACTTTTTCCAAGTGGCATACGATGTTTTGTTTGAGTATATTAGTGTGATATACTACTGTTTTCAAACGTAAGAAACGTGCCTCAAGCCGCAAAAGGCTGACAATTACATCGTTTACAAATTTTAGAGCTGTTTAACCGAGATTGGTCCGTTTTATTAGTGACACCGGAGAATTATTCTAAAATGTCGGCAACTATTGTTAAGCCCAAGATAATATGACTATAGCAAAGTCGGCCGTTTTGATGTTCTAAAATATTGATCAATGTCAAGAAACAAATCATCGATCGATCATAGCTTTTAGGTAGAAGTATAGGATCATTGTGTTTTTCACAAATATGTTATTTATTTATTTTTTGTTTTGAAAAGAAAAACAAAACTAAAACGAGCCATAATTACGATTATTTTTGATTTTTCGGAAAAGGTTTTTCTACCGCTCCTAATTTATTACTGCAGAGTACGAACCTAGGTTTATAATTTATTCTTATTAATAAAAAGGGACCAAAGAAAAGTTTTAAAAGACTTGATAAAAGTGGAGTTTGATATGAAAAATAAAAAGTGTAAAAGAAAATTTCACTTTTTTTTTATGGAATTTGGAAACCTTCTCCTATGTTGATTAGGAGATCATGTTGGCTATATATGGAGGAGCTGTGCATGTTTTGGAGGATCGTGAGAGCTAAGGCATAAAAAAATCCGAGAGAGCTTTCGGAGATTATGTTGCAACTTAGTTTTGCGGTTTGTTGCTTGTGTAATCAAACTTATTTGTGCGTTGGTGTTGTTGACGTGTTGGAGTGCTTTGGTGTCATCGTTGGGATCGTTGGTGTGACAGTTGTTCCAAAAAATTAAATTTCAACACGCTTGCTTGTTCTTAGTATTCATACTAAATTGCAACAAAACAAACCAAAAATCGTATAGAGAAAATTCTCTCTGTTTTTTAATTTCTGATGTTTTGAAAGAAAAATATATTTTAAATTAGATAATATCTTTAATTTTCAGTGTAAAATTAATATTTTAATTAGTTTTGACGGTTTATATTATATTATTGTTAGTTGAATAATATTTAGATAAATAATAAATGATGTTTTAGTTTAGAAATAAATAAAAATTAAATATATTTTTCTGTTGACTTTTATATTGTTTGAATTTGTTAATTTTTTTTGCTCAAAATTGAAATCCAACAAAAAAAAAATATTGTATGCCGTCTTTAATCATTAAAAACATACTTATCATTATCATCTCACTGCAGCAATAGAAAAAGTCAATACACAAAAGTAAAACTTAGAATCTTCGACCCATCTCCATTTTTTTTAATGTGTAATTAATTAATCAAGTAAAAATTCTATACTATTATTTGGGGAGTACAATTTATAATTACGCTTTAATAATTTTCTCTTTTGTAAGTTATTACATTAGAATACCATTAGAGATAAAAATATAAAGAGTAAATTAATTTAGTTCATTAAGGATAAACAAGTCAAATACTTATTTATGAAATTTAATTAATTTAATTATTAAAAACGAAAATATATTATTAACATAAAAAAAAGAATGACCAATCAAAATGAACATATAAGATTTGATATCTAACTTACCATATTAATTTGTTATTAATCATTATACTTCACTTCTCATCTTTATATGATTCTATTTTTATGAAACAAATAAATCATCATATCATCCATATAACAAAAAAAAAGTAATTTTTTTTCTGCATATGCCAAGATCTGAATTTTTAAAAACGAATATAAATTGTTAAATCTATGAAAAAAAATTTTCACGGGTCAAAAATTCACATTTAAGTAATATATTTCTTTTAACCAAAAATATAATGCCTGTTCATGGTGGAGGAAAAATAATATCCCGACGGGCCAGGCTAATATTTCTTCCCTTAAGTTGGCTTTGGAAGAAGCGAAGAATGATGATTCGATTCCGCAAGAGGAGATAAAAAGAATCGAGAATAAATTAAAGGAAGCCTATCATGAGGAGGAGATTTATTGGAAACAAAAAAACAGAATTTTTTGGTTAAAAGTGGGAGATAAAAATACCAAATTCTTTCATGCTTCTACAAAAAAAAGAAGGGTAAGAAATAAAATTTCAGGATTATATGGTCCTAATGATGTATGGGAGGAATCGGAAGCAGGAATGGAAGAGATGGGAACTACCTACTTTAAGGAGCTATTTAAGGTTTCCAATATAAATTGAATCGCTGAGATGGTGCATGAAGTATCTCCGATTATTACGGGAGATATGAATAGGGAGCTAACCAAAGAGGTTACAGAAGCAGAAGTTAGAAAAGCATTATTTTCCATGAATCCTGAAAAGACACCAGGTCCAGATGGCATGACGGCTTTGTTTTATCAAAGGTTTTGGCACTCTTTAAAGGAAGACTTAGTAGGATTGGTCAGAGATTTTTTCAGAACAGGATGTTTTGATAAGAGAATAAATGAAACAAATATTTGTTTAATTCCAAAGACCGAAATGCCACAAAGGATGGCCGAGTTTAGGCCAATAAGTCTTTGTAATGTAAACTATAAGATTATTTCAAAAATTCTTTGTTTAAGGCTTAAAAAAATTTTACCCCGGCTAGTCTCTGAAACACAGTCGGCATTCGTTTCAGGTAGACTTATAACAGATAACATTTTGTTAGCTCAGAAAATGTTTCATGGATTAAGGACGAATAGAATGTGTAAGACAGATTTTTTAGACATTAAAACAGATATGAGCAAAGCATATGATAGGATAGAATGGGAATTTTGGAGGCGGTTATGTCACGGTTGGGATTCAACTCTAGTTGGGTTTCATGGATCATGTGGAGTGTTAGTTCCGTTTCGTATCAGGTTTTATTGAACGGGGAACCTAGAGGGAATATAATTCCCAAAAGAGGTTTACGGCAGGGTGGAATGGGTACTTATTTGGGTATACCAGAGAGCCTAGGGGGCTCAAAAAGTAAAATCTTTAATTACGTTCGGGAACGACTTAATAAATGGATTAATGGTTGGTCAGCTAAATATCTATCAAAAGGTGGGAAAGAGACAATGATCAAGTCTGTTGCCTTGACTCTCCCAACCTATGTTATGTCCTGTTTTAAACTTCCCCAAGAGTTAACTTCTAAATTAACAAGTGCTATTTCTAATTATTGGTGGAGTTCCAATAGGAAAGACCGTGGTATCCATTGGACAGCATGGGAGAAAATGTGTATGGATAAAGAAGAAGGAGGTTTGAGTTTTCATTCTCTAGATACTTATAATGATGCCATGCTGGCTAAACAGTATTGGAGATTAATCCAATACCCAAATTCTTTAGTAGCTCGAGTATTAAGAGGAAGATATTTTAGGAATGTTCATCCTTTAAATGCTAAAAAGCCAAACTCTCCATCGTTTGGATGGAAGAGTATTTTTCGACTAAAAGACTTGTTGAAATGGGTGCAAGATGGTCCCTGGGCTCGGTTTTTAACATATCGGTATGGCGTGATCCTTGGATCCCCGATGTTAACCCACGACCTGCAAATGGAAGAGGGAATTTGTTACTTCCAAGCCTAATGGTTAATCATTTAATTAATCCAGTTTCTAAGGAATGGCACCTTCCAATAGATATTCAAATTATTAGTGGACTAACTATTAGTCAAGTTTATAAACCAGATAGGCTTATTTGGCATTATACAAAATCCGGAAAATATACTGTAAAGTCAGGATATCGACTTGCTCGAGGGTTGACAGAAACAATCGAATGGGGCCCAAATTATAGAAAATTATAAGCACAAGCTTGGAAAATCAAAGGTCCACCAAAAATAAAACACTTCTTATGGCAAATTGCCTCGGGATCTTTGGCAGTTACCTCAAAATTAGCACATCGAGGGATTCATTGTGATATTATCTGTAAAAGGTGTGGGATGGCAGACGAAACAATAAATCATGCTTTATTTGACTGTCTTCATTAAAAAAAAATATGGGAATTATCTCCAATACCTATGGGTTCGGGTATTTTTCCTCTAAGCTCGGAATTTTTAAATCTAGATTATCTTTATTGGAGGTTACCACTTACTCCAGATGGGGGAGACAGAAATAACTGTTTTGCTTGGATATTGTGGTTTATATGGAAAGATAGGAATAAAAAAGTTTTTAAAGGAATACAATCTGAACCCACAGATATCTTAAATCACGCAATGAGTGAGAAATCAATGTGGGAAGATGCTCAGTTGGAACCGATCGAAACTACTATAACTACGGAAATACTGGAAAGCCCAATCCAATCCTTAAGATGTCGGATTGACGGCTCTTGGAAATCTTCGGATCCAACTATGGGTATAGGATGGTGGTGTTTTCAAGGAAATGATCAAACAATATTGCTAGGTGCAAAGTGCCTCCGGAGATGCCCCTCCCCCCTTCACTCGGAGATGGAAGCCTTAATTTGGGCCATAAAGAATATCCTTTCAAGAAGGATCGATTGTCAGGCGTTTGAAACAGATTGCTCAGAGTTAGTCTCGATGGTACAATCACCTGAAGAATGGCCAGCCTTCTCCA